CATGTATAAAGGAAATATTTAGAATAAAGCCAATATATAAACTTCCTTTCCGTATAGACGTATTTACGTCAAATTCTCCGGAACCGTGGTTCCACTGACAACTTTTTTTTTCTCCGTAACAGATACGGCAAAGAGACCAAAGATTTATTTAAGATTTTAACCCCTGTAATTTTTCCAAGTGTCGCACCTTATTTCCATCTGGAGGAACATTAAAATTGTGTGGAGGACAAACAATGAACCTTAAAAATGTAAAATTAAAATATAAAGATATATGCTTTCACTACGGTCTACATAGGAATACAGTTAGAACGATAAAATTAAAATTATTTGTATTAGTCTGGTAGATGTTTACCGACGTCACCCTGATGATTGAGGCAGCAAGGACCTCTGAAACATCGGTAAACTTCTACTAGACTACACGACACAACAGCTCTTCGTTGGTGATAGGGTGTGTATTTCATTGTCGTTCGTGGAAAGACGCATTTCGTACCGGAGTAAACAGCCTTTCTACAAGTGTTCTTTGCACTCTGGCTTCCTCAACGGTGACGAAATAAACACAAAAATATGTTTGTATTTTGCCCCCCTTTTTCCATTTGTTCGTGAAAAAATGTTGACGGGGCAGCAAAGATTCAAATAGAGAACATTTATTTATATTTGAAATTATTCAGTAGGTCCACATTTCCCGCAACATATTAATTTCAGAAAACATTATCCGTGAAACAAAACGTTTATTAACTGTGTCTTTTCCTCCATTACGTATTTCTGTAGTGGAAGCATCCACCCTCATACGTCACCATATGCCTGTTCACGGTAACAATTATCCCTGCCAATTAGCAGTCTCGGTATGTAAATATGGTTAGCGCTTCTCCCAATTAGCTGGAATGCAGTATGCAGATTCTGTTTTCGACGTTTTACTTTGTAGGATTGTTTACAGGTCATTTCCGGGTTGATTCACTGGTGTGTTGACTGAACGCCGATACATTTATTTAGAGCGTTGACAAAAATGTGTCTTTGCTTTCATAATATATCGTTTGTGCCACTTTAATGATTTCCTCAATCGTGGCTCGCGTGTCTCAAGTTGACGCACAAACGCACCCAGAATCGGTTTAAGAAAAATCACTCAGGAGACCAGAATAGAATCGGGATAATAGTACTAAAATAAATATTGCTACATTGACTCATTTTCGACTCCATTGATTGATTTGTTAGCTTCTTAGATAATTAGCCAGTTTTGTTGATGATCTATTAGTGTTACATTAAAACCTGAGAATTTAAAATCTTTTTACAAGTCGTAATTGCAGACGTAATGAGTCGTTATATAAGGGCTGTTTTTACTCTTTAAAACTCGTCTTCAAGGTAGAAGAAGTGCTAACACATCGAGCTCCTAATGTTTCTCAAAATAACTTTCAAGTTAATTGTGTCGGTAGAAGGTCACACTATTCTAAGTTACTTCTACGTCATAATTTTAGGTTTCCGAATGAATACATTTCCTACTTCGGAGGCATTTTAGCGAGACCCGTTTGTCTGTCTGTAACCTTGTTAACGATGATGTTTAACTTCAAGTTTTGGCCTTGATTTGTTCACTCAATCGACTCGTCACAACCATTACAATTGAGCTGAATTTAACTTTTTAACAATTAACTTACGAACATCGCATTGTGCTAACAAGTATCGCGAAATTTCGGACTGAAATGAGTCTCTGCACATTTAACATTTATTAAAAGTGTGATAACATTAGTAAGATCTTCTTCATCCCTGTTTTAAAGTCTTTTATGGACTTTTGATACTGTTTCGTCATCAAATTATTCCTGCCCCAATATATTTGTATCCAAACAAATTGTTACGTACTACTTTTTTTTCGTAACTGTTGTTTTTAATCTTAATATGTCATTTGTCTGTAACTGTTGTCATTGTTACTCGTTCATGGTGTGTTCTTATCTTCTAAATTGTTCAGCACGGTGTTTATATTATCATAATAATTTAATAATTCAGAGATGATTTTGGTTTTTAATTTAGGGAATTTCCATATTCTGGTTAATTTGTCCCTTTATTATTTGCTGTCCCTAAAGCATAGACAGCTTAATATTTGTTTTGATTTAGTGTGTTGTAAAGTTCTGAACTGTGTGGAAAAGTTTAAGCACCATTGCAGTAGAGTGCGGACATGTCGTACATTCGAACGCGGCGGGAGTGTGTGACAGACACTTAAAGTATGAAAAGGTGTTGCTATGCGGGTGGTGTCTTTTATTTTCTTCTCCTGGTGACACATGACTGCATCGGGAACGCCCTTTTAGCAAGCCCTTTCAAAATACCGTCTCAGGTAAAAAAGAAGTTAAGTTAAAAAGAAATGTATCTTTGTGTTGTCGTGTGAAAGAAACATCCGTCCTGTCTTTCTTCTCGCTAACGAAGGATGACCAAAACATTTGTCGTTCTCCGAGTTACAGGTGTGGGTATTAATCAGGTAACCGTAGCTGATGTGATCAAGGTATTTGAGAACGTTAATAGTTGCCACTGTAACCAAGCGTAGGGCACTTGCGAATCCTAGTCTAGAAGGCACACACTCCTTAATGGTAGCGCTAGAGTGCTGAGGCAAACATTCACGAATTCTAGTCTTCGGCTCTAAATGGAATCCGGGTTCACACTCCTGACGCTTTGCCCCAGCAGAGATGGTCCTCGGTACACACCAGCTTGTAGACTGAGTGATGGAGAACAGAAAAGTGTCTACCTCTACCCAGAAGACATAGTAAATCAACGAATTACCTTTAACAGGTGTTGTAGGTTAACATTATTACCCGATTCAATATTTATATTGAATATTCAGCGTATTATTACACAATTCAATATTTATATTGAATATTCAGCGGTGAAATATGAACAAATGTTAAATTAGAGCCATTTTCGTACTCACCGACGTGAGAAACTCAAATCCTTTAATGAAGCTGTTCAAATTGTTACATAATATAGTTTATTGTCGAAACATTAAATCGTTTAATTATTTATTTTTTAATACTTTCTATCACATAAATGTGTTTTGTCTTTGTCGTATGTCCACCTTTCACGTTAATTTAAATCTATGTTTATGAAGAAAAACTGTTACATTGTCAATATAAAACTGATATACGTACACTGGGTGTAAGGTTTGTTGTTGAACAACAAAGATCGATTGTGAAAATGAGTGTTACGTGTGATTGTGCACATGAAATAATTAATCTCAGTTTGTTAGCTGCTTAGCAACTGCCGAGTGGTTTGAATATCCCAAGAATTAGTGCATATGATGCATTAATGAAGCGATAACCAGGGAAAATTGTAAATCGGACTTCACTCGGACTGGAATGAAAAGAAGTCGGGCGTGCTAGATTGGACAGAATGCAAAGGAAATAAATGCAGATTCTGGATTAATTGCATCTGTCGCAGAGTTGGCAGACTTAGATTAGCCAAGTGGGTTTTGAAATTTGAGTATACATTACCCCACGTGGGGGAAACATGACGGGTCTGTAAAGTCTATTGTGTCCATCCGACAGACAACTCCATCATTGCCAAAGGGGAAAAAAAATCTACACGCGTGAAGCAGCCAAATAACCTGTTCGTCAATAAGATTTGTCATGCCACTCAATTGCTACACCGGTAGATCTACAGACCGACAGATGGGTGTGACTCGTTTATTTGTTCTCAACTGATTTGAACAAGTAACTTCAGTTCTCGGAATTCTACATGAGTGGCAGGACAACTTGAAGGCAATGTCAGTGCGTGCAAATAGAAATTCAGTTCAGTACCTGTTATTCCTATTTCAACTGAGAGTCGCGATGAATTTAATACTGTGGTAATTGCATTCTCAAGCTATGTATCTTTTTATTCTGATATATTTAAGTTGTGTATACTGATAAGGCATATTGTCAGTCAAAACATAATTTATCAATGTTATATTCGTGAATTATCTGCAGACGAAACCCGTTTAACAGGGTTTATAAAATTCATAGTGTTGGCGCGTGTTAACACTATAACTGCACGATGCTGTCTGTTATCAGTAATGTTTTTACGACTGGTAGTACATAACACGCTCTGGCTACAAACCGAGCCGAGGTGCGAATAAGCGAATTCTGTTCGTACCGACTACGACTGATAAATCTATGTGAGGTCACCAAGTTCTGACTTCGCCTGGTGTGTTGGCCATTAAGAGGCTACCGCATCGCACACCATTTGCTTTGTGAGTGAGTTCTCATGCTCGTCTTAATTAAGTGACCTCTAGGCTGGCAGGACACCCGTGTGCTTGTCTGCGTCGCGGATCGGATTACTGATGGACCACGTTGGGTGGGTAGCACACAAAAACTTGAGCAGCGAGGCCCAGAAAGGGGGAGAGGGGCCCCGAAAGATTTTAACGAGGTCGTTGCAGGCACAGCTTCCAAAATGAAGGTTTACTTTGATACTTTTCGACACTGTATCAACTGCTGAAATTACATTATATCGTATCAGAATGACTGTCAGTGCTGAAATGCATGGAATATGTGGAAAAGGGCTTTTGCATATACTAAATAAAATTCATGAGTTAAAATGAATTTTCAGATTCGCTGTTTGTTAGCGATGGGGTCTACGACAGATAGGCTAATGAATGTCTTTAAGTAATTTTCTTTATTCCTAATTTACAGTTCTCTTAAAACATATTTCTTCTCCCCTGAATGTTGTTTATTCGAAAGTGGACATGTTGAATCTGAAACGGGAAAATAAAAATCAGGGCGTTTTGGAAAATAAATCACCAAGAAGACCAACAAAGAGATCTGATGATAATGGGCCGTTGCTGGGGAAATAAATTTATATACCTCTGGTACGACGAAAAGGAAATTGTATTTGAGAGTTCCTGCATATTTTCTGGAAGTTTTCTGTTCTGTTAGGTGAATGAAGGTTATAAACACGTTATAGCCTACGGCCACTTCACAGTGTTCTATGGTTACGAAAGTCTGAAGTAGGAAGGGACGTTCTGTTCTCTTTCTTACGATTCTTAGAATATTGCGCATGCTGAAAGCTGGGAAAACCAGGAAGAAAAAGAGACCCTTAGCTAGGATTTTAATGACGGCGTTTGGAATTGCGGTTTTAAACATGAGTTCATTTGCATTTGCTTTGAAACAATGTCCCAGAACGTGTCTGTGTGTAAGAGACATCATTTAAACAAGACTGGAGAAATGTTCTCCGATTTGAAATACACGTGCGTATGTGTTCTTTGCGATTTGAACTGATTCACGCTTATTGAACACCTAATGAACGCAGTATAAATGCCTTTTCATTATAATGCGGTAAATATTACCTATATAAAACCACTCAAATAAGAATTGCAGGTTGTAATGGGATCCGTATTTTGTGTTTTTATAATTTTTTGTTCGATAGAAAATTGATATGCTGAAAGTTTAATTTAAGCTTTATCTAAAGTACGACTAGTTTCGGCCAATATGGACCAATACGGACATAAATAAAATTGTTCCGAGAACGTTAGTGCAGGTCTAAAACTCCTTTTCATGTTTTATCATGATTTATACGAAATCTTTATTAGAATCAATTAGGTCAGACTCATTGTAATGTGGCTATGTAACCGGAACATTAAGCGTTCTCAGTATTCGTTTAACTGTAGTTAACACAGTGTCTTACGTCAGGAGTATCGGAAGGAATTACGTGTATCACAGACGCCATCATCAATGGCGTTTCTGGAAGATTACAATAGCCTACATCATATCCTCTAAGAAATTCATGTCAGGAAGGAAATGCAGGATGTATTGTGGTGAGGAGTACCTTCCTTTATTGCGAGGTTTTTAAAGAATTGGGGATATCTGTTCAAATATGTGTTCAGTTAATTTTAACTCGAAAGGAAAATCTGCGTTAATTCTCACAAAAAAAATGTTGAAATATCTATTAATTTAAGTGTATTTAATTTTTTTTATGGCTGACATACATAGGTTGAAGACATTGCTTCTGCAACTTACGCTCATTAAAGTGAAAGATTTTGATTTGTTAAAGTCTTATTTGTGTTTGGTGCTGCAGGGGTGATTAGCGTAAAACCTGAAACGTCCATTTTACCCTGCGTCAGACGCAGAATAATTTGATTATGTTATTGCCCCCTCATCTAATTTTCGGTGTAAATAATGTTGCATGTGCATAACAGCGCTGCGATTACAACCCATGTAAATCGTCTCGGATTTTAGATATTTATAAGGCTCAATATTGACAGTGATATATTGCATCGGAGTGAGAAAGTGATAATGACGTCGACTCTAAAAGCCCAGAAAACAGTCATATTCACACTCACCGCCGTGAGGACCTCAAATCCTCGACGTCGGCTCTAAAAACCCAGAAAACAGTCATATTCAGACTCACCGCCGTGAGGACCTCAAATCCTACAATAATGATTTCGGTTGACACTTTTTGTTCAAAGGAGTATCGGTTTGTCAACTTTTCAGAAATTTTTGATGAGGTGGGTTGCTTTGTCGATGTAGGATTCAGAAATTGATATAACCCTGAAAATTGAGGAGGAATTTTAGTGATTAGCGCGATGACTTTGTAATACTTGTAAAACGTTATAAATCCCAAGCTGAGATGGCCCTGAATGTTGTTCACACAGAGTTACAAGAAAATGGATTAAATTTTCTTTGACGTATTTGTGTCGGAAAATCAATCAGAATATGGTCAGGCAGAAAGGCAAACTGGCTCGTAAACCTCGATAAAAGTACTCCTTTGGACCCCTAACAACTCCTGTTCAAGTATTGGTTGTACTGACGGGAAACCACTCGTATGTTCCCATGCATTCTTATCAGGTTTTCCCCCCGACACTAGAATTTAATTCTCATTTCTAAGAATTTTATTTTACGTCCATGAGAATCCGTGTGGCATCATTCCACGGAGACAGATGAGGCTTCTACTTAAGCGTCAAGTAACATCGGTGTCTGATTTACATCAAGGTCGCCGGGATTCGAACATAATCGCATGTTTTTTGCAGATCCTGTTTTATATTCTCCTTGTCCTTCTCTTTAATAAGGTTTTCTTATTATTTGTGTTTTGTGGGAAGAAAAGAGAACTTAACAAAAGCCTAAGTTTGAACCAGAGGCTTTGAAATATATTTGTTCTAATTCTTTAAGAACAACATTTTTACCGTCTTTTTAGGAACAACTTTATTGATTTCTTAAACACCGTCATATGTCTGTAGATATGCCTTTGGACTTTTGAAAGAATGAATTGGTTTGTCTTACTCAAAAGTCTTTTAAATACCCACAGAAATTTGATAGAATTACCGGATCTTTCGGTAGATTTACTTAAAAATAAAAACAATGTCTACCGGAAACTACAGTTGTTACATCCAGATTATTAGTCCTTATTGAATCAAATTTGAATACAGTCATTTCCATCGTGTTGTTGGTAGTCTAGATCAGTGGTATTCAACTTGGGGTACGCGAAGACATCTTAGGAGGTACGTAAATTTTTTTTTAAAAAATTATTTTATGATAAACACTGAATAATCAGTAATATAATTTATTTAATTTATTTTAGATGTAGATTATATACCAACAACTTTAGGGGTACAAAGTTGAAGAGAAATTATATCTGGAGGTACGCGAACAAAAAAGGTTGAATACCACTGGTCTAGATACCGTTCTGCGGAAAAGACGGTATGCTTTACTGAATAATATTTTCTGATTTTCCGACATTTTTTGCGGGAGTTGATCACTTGTCTCCATCTAGTGCTGAGGTTGAAAATAAACGGATCTCTGTAAGGAGCTCTGGTACTGTCCCTGCCTTGCAACGTCATTGTCATTCTGAACGTTGTCTGGCCCATTCGGATCTATTAATAAAGTATACTAAAGCCTATTAACTTAAAGTGCTATATATGACGTCATAACACAAGAGGTTAAGTGTTGGTTTTAGCTTATCCGATTAATGCTGCTAGCGAGAGGAATATTATCGATATCTCGCTGAGAAACAGTATCTTCAGTTTATGCCAGTTATTTCTTTACTAGCGTACTGTTACCCGTCAATGTTGACGGGGATGAACCTTTTTTGTGTAGAACAATAACACAGTTTATCGTAGCGTAATCTTTCCGAATCGCATTTAAAGCACATTTACACAGATTCTTGATAAAGTAAACTGAAAGTGGAAACATCTTCAGATCGACTGCCGAACTCGCCAACGTGAAACCGTGGGCCTGATCCCATACTCCAGACTTCCGCCAAACTCAGACTTCGCCAGGCCTCATCATACGCGCCGCCACAGCCAGAGTAGCCACCGTCAGAACATTTCAATTATTTCGCCTTCCAAAAACTTCGCAATCGTACAGTCAAGCTTAATTGATACTGGCAATTATGTCAGGAGTAGATTACTGGCTAACGAAGTTTGAAATCTTAATTGTTTCTAAACTGGTTGGAAAATTCTCTGCTCCCTTGGAAGCTGAAGGGTTTTTGTGAACCCGCTGTTAGCGTGTTTACAGAAAACCTTACTGGACGCAGTTGAGCTAGTTGACCCCAGTCCTCGCCCTCACACCGAATTCTTTAAGTATTTATTTTAATATTATTGTTCTGTCTAAACTTGGGTCTTCCACGTGGTCTCTTTCTTTGGGGTTTTCCGTCATGTCAGCTTTAACTTCAGGCCTTTATCGTGTGATGCCCTGTCAAAGTGGAAACTTTGGCATTGTTTTAGTTACTTTACAACTTACCCACTGAGTTTGATCCATGAACTTGAAGGTTGAGAGATACAGAGGACGAGTTTTAAAAACTGACTGTGAACTTGTATTGGAGATGTGAGTGTGATTTGCTCATCATGGCCGAAGCTGCTGTTGCCAAGGTTGGATGACGTAACTGTAGTGACACCTTGCAGAGAGACGCAAAGACTCGGGAGTAATTTGAATTCTTCTTCCTCCATGTGCCCACTTTCGTGAGTGAAGGGACTGAAGAACGATTGTATCGCTGCAGACGTATTTGAAACTCTTTGCCCATCGTGTCACTAGACACCAGCGTGAGTAAATGTACGTTTGGTAAGCGATTTCTCTTCATGCGTTTTCTATAAGCAATGACGATAAACTGCAAGCAGTTAAGATGACAACTTCGGATCTGGGGGGGAAAGGAGGGGAAAGAGAGAGACTAGATTTGAAGCGTCAAGTTTGTGACGAAAATAATTTTAAAATCGATTCATAAATTATGCAATGACAAAGGTACGTATTCAGTGGTTAGATCTTCAACTTGTCGAAAGCGAGCACTCCCCATGGCGTCGTGGACCACAGTTTGAAAGCACCTAGTCAACTACTTTTTTTAATATAATTAATATAAAATGTTGACCATAAGCATTATTCCATTTTCGTTAATGATCTGTTACAATGGACACATTTGAAAAAAATATACGCAGTCCATAAAATAAACATCACCAATATCCATTATCATTATTCCCATGCTTCTGACACGGCACCTTGAACAGTGAACACTTATTGAACAGCGGCCATAATTTGATAATACGACAAGGAGAGATGCCTTTCATTAAGATAATGACAAATTATAATGGAAACGAATGGGGCTTGTTACAACAACATTACATTATCAGGAGATGAGAGATATGTAGTACTTTGTCAACGGGAAAACACCTGTATCGCAAAAAGAGACTGACATCAATTATAATGAGACTATCAGTGAAAGCTGACTACTTGATGCTACTTTAAAAGATAAACATTAATATACATTAGTGTCTACGCATAGGTTAAGAAGACATGCGACCGGTTTAGTTCATGCATGATGTACTTCCTAGAATCACACTAGTCTTCACATAGACACGGAATTCTTACATGGTACTTAAAAAGGATTTATTCAAAATTAATTATGTTACACGAAGAAGATTTTAAGAAATGTGTGTTGTGTTGTTAAGAAGACATGAAGAACTTAGTTTGCTAGACAAATGCTGTCACTACAGCACACTACACAGTTAACGTTTGTGTCTGAAATACGTTTTGAAATTACCACGGTCTTCAAGAACACTTCAAATTTGCTACTTGTTTCTACATAATCAAAACATACAACAATTTCTACACTTTCTAAATTTCTGTTTGTAATTTAAATTGGCCTATTTCAAACTTAGGCCCCAAATACGTAAATGATAAACTTTAGTATCAACAACGGTTAACATCTGAAGGTAACGTCGTTTTCAAGCTGTAGGTTAAAATGCGAATCTACATTTGCAATTCTGAACCATTTTTATTTAATTTCTTTTAAATGTTTCCCTTGTTCAGAGCCATTTTTACGTTCTCTGTGAAGCTTGGCAGTTACTGATACAGATTTATCATACCTTTTCGTCAAATGCTATATATTGAATATTGGAACTTTCATCTGTCTTTTCTCATTTTTTACACCATTTATCAGGGGTAAACTGGTAGATTTTCATGTGTGTTTGATACGGTGATAGACTGCTAATCACATCTAGACGTCGGAGTGCTTTAGTTCAAGTTGTTTTTACGAAGGCGCTGTGAAGTCGTCTATGTGTGCTATGATCAAGAATCCTTCAAGATGTTTTAGTGTTTCCACAGAGAACAAACATAATATGAACCGTACTGTTCTTTGGAAACACGTGACTTGCTGTTTTTTTGTGTGATTGTGGATACAACGACTCGCGTTGTCGCATACAAATAACGTCTTCTGTTTTTTTGTGTTTTATGCATGAAGAAGTAGTGATGTAGAAATTACATCGCTAGGAATATACATGTGGACATTCTGTCATCGTATACGTCAGATTTTCTCCCAGACGTAAACTTTTTTCACGCACAGATATTCACACCAATTATCTTTAAAGTTATTACATAATATGGACGTCCAGTAACATAGCATGAATGTGCGGTGATACATAAACTTAATCGGAACGTAGAACCGGCCACGTTTATGTATGTAATAGTTCCACCCACAGAGATACTACTGTCATAAAATAGTTTTACTTTCAAGGAACAATGACAGCGTCTCATCGTTATTACATATTTATACAGCAGCTGTTGTTGATAGGGAACAAAAGCTGTTTAAGGCGATCTTTATAATAGCTTCTTCTCGTAACAAATATCGCTAAGTTCGAGGCATCAACAACAATCCCTGAAACTGTTTACGTGTTGTTGGACAAAGATTTATATCGAATTCTACCACAGCTACTACTATTGACAAACATATAACTTTTCGACGCGCCATGTAGATATTATTTTGTGTCATAATATTTGGTCACACAGTGACACTGACGTCGCCGAAGGTGTAGTTTTCATAATCATTGGATCTGTTTATATATATTACTGAAAAAAAGATTCTGTACAGAGGTATTACCTCTCTTTGGTTGTCCTCGGTATCTCAAGCAAAATGCTGCGATAGTACCTTAAAATAAGTGCCTCCCGTCAGTTTCTTAAATCCTTGCCAACTCACATATCATCGTATTGTCATAAAACTGTGCTCTTTGTAAAGAGTTAAATTGGCCTCCTTTAATAAGCTAAGAATGAATAAGTACTTGTATGCTGTGTTGTATTCAGATTTTTGCTTCGTTGTGTGGATGCATTAGATAGATCTTGTAAGTACTACACATTTCATTGAGTGTTGCGTCATTGCTTGGTTGTAGAAAATGAAGACTTTTGACAACATTTTTACAGCTATTAAACCACTATTTTACTTGTCTAAGGCATTTGGCCTCGCGCCGTTAAGCTGGATTAAAGAAAAAGATAGTGGAACAGTGAAGCCGAGTTCACGATCTTTTGATGTGTACTGGGGTGCTGTGTTATTCTTGTGTTTCCTTGTAAATGTGCCTTTGGAATTTTACGTTATGCAGTTCAATAATTGGAATTACCCGATAAAATTAAATGTAGTCTGTTGTATATATAAAATATCTTGTCATTTATCTGGTATGACATCTCTACTTTTCATATCAGCTTTCAAAAGACACAGCTTACCCCAGATATTAATCTTAATATCAGAAGTGGATCAACTGTTGTATAAGAAACCAGAAAGGCTAATCCTTTACAAGGAAACAAGGTCCTTTATTTCACGCGAACTTTGTATACTGTCCATTATTTTTATTCCTTTACTTGTCACGTATTTTTATTTCTCTCCCAAAGAAGGACTTTTAAGATATTTTGTTTTAATGATTGAGAGTATACAAAACTTGTCATTTATGTTGATGATTGTTCAGTTTACGAACATAATTTTGCTTTTGAGGCAGAGGTACAAATGTCTTAACAGGTGGCTCGATATTCATTCAAATATTTGGAGAGACAGAATAAAATCTGTTGGTAAGGACGTTCCTTTGTTATCAGATGTAGAGACCTACGTATTATCACGTTATAGTCTGAAGTATGGAAGACTTAAGATACTTGAGCAAAGACATATTTATAGTAAACTATATGATATTGTATGTCTGGTAAATTCATATTTTGGATTACCAGTTTTTATGTTGACATTCTGGATGTTTGTGAGTGTTGTGTTCATTTCATATTCGTGTATGTTATCTATTATGCTTGTTATAAGTACAGGTAAAGAGCTCGGTGAACATGTATGGGCAATGACTGGTTTAATTTGGTCCTTTGCTTGTGTAGTTTTGCTGCTTTTAATAATTGCGGCGTGTCATACCACAACTGAAGAATGCGGTAAGTCACAGATTCTGGTAGAAAAGTTAATATTACGCTCTGGATTAAGTTATGAAACGATAAATGAACTTAAATTTCTGTCAGCGCAACTTAAAAACATGAAAGTTTCATTCACTGCTTACGGCTTCTTTTCGTTGGACTTACCTTTCATGTACAACTTTGTTGGTGTCATATGCACATATTTATTGATACTAGCCCAGTTTAATTGACGTGTGAAGTGCATATCTACAAATAGCGTTGTCCAACATAGTAATAGCTAATTTATATGCCCGATGTAATTTGTGAATATTGCTTCTTCAGAGCGGTCAGGTATGTCCTTAACCCCGTGACGTCACGCTCCAATGTGCTGTAACGATTGAAAACGAGCAGATACTGCAAACTCATGTCTGACGTGGCAATTTTAAATACAGAAACATCCCGTCTTGGAGGCAGTTTTTCCCAAAAAAACAGCTTAACTCTAAAGCATGTAAATTGAAGATTTGTTTCCTGTATATTCAATTTTGAATAAAGATGGGGGAGGAATTACTATCCTGAGCGTACATATTTCAATATGAAAGTTGGTGCGTCTAAGTCTGACCTTTTAGTCATTTTGCAGACTGAAGAGGATGACTTTTTCTGGCAAGTGAGGTGTGACGTTGGGACGCAGATAGAACTGGCTCTGAGTTGTGTATCATTAGCGTCGAGTCTTCGGATTCTGCAACTACAAAATTAGAATTTAGTTATTTAATCAGTTTACCTGTACGTTGTCTCTACTTCTTTACCTCTCAATATATTTGTACTCATTTTCGTATATAAAATAGTACAGCTAATATTTATGGTAATATGACAACTTCCACAATGTGGTAGTAACTTCTGTACCTTGGGTCGTGTTTGATTTCCTCAGCTTGAAGTCATCATTAACAAAAAATAACATTCATGGCTCCGCCCGGTTTCGAACCGGGGACCTTCTGCGTGTAAAGCAGACGTGATAACCACTACACCACGGAACCAGTTGTCAGAACTCTCACAGATTAAGAAGGCTTACGAACTTTCGGAACTTGATTAAATATTTTGTGCAATATTGTATCATTTAAAATACACAAAGTTCAGGAGTCTATTGGATGAAAGCCAGAATTCCTACCATAAGATCAATAGCCTACGACACAAATGAATTCTCTTGTCATCAGTAACACCAACATGGCGGCATTATGATCTTCTGATGTCGGTGTCTCTCTTTGTAGGATACTTAAGTTTTCTGCAAGTTAGATCTTCGGAATATGTGCTGCTTTTGGCAAGGCGCCGTAATATTTTTGAAGATTTTAACAGACGTATTGCTGGTCTAATCATCAAGAGGATGACGTGACGTTTCTTTGTTTCACCTTATTATTTTCTGGCCATAGAGTGGTAAACCTGCATA